AATTTTTAATGACGTATTACCAGAAGAAGAAATCATTGAGGAAGATAATGAAATGGAAGTGCCAGTTGATGAACCACATTGGGAACCAGGCGAGGGTTTTGCTATACGAGCAGCACTCATAGAAAGACTATTCAGATAATATTTATTATATACATGATGTAATGAATATAAAAAGCAGTTAACCAACACAATTTTTTGTTCTATTTTAAACTTTATTGATACAATATCAATGTAATTTTTTTCAATAAACTTTTATAACATAATATTTTAATATCTTTTAAAAAGGAACACAAATCATTAATCTATTTACTTTAATATCACTTTTTACCTTGTTATATAATAATATTACTTGTACAAAATAATCTTTTCATTTTATGACACTTATAAAAAAATAATCTCTTATTATTTCTAGTGACTCACTTATTTAAAAAAATAATTTGTCATCATTTTTAGTGACTAAACTTATAAACACAAATAATCTGTCATTTTCAGTGACTAGCACTTTTAAACAAAAAAATCTTATTATTTATAGTGACTAACACTTATAAACAAAAATAATCTTTTATCATTTGTAGTGATTAACACTTTAAAAAAAATAATATCATTCATTTTTAACAACTTATACTATAAAATACTCGTAAAATAAAATACTTTAAACTTTTCTGATTTTAAGGAACTTTAGTCTATGCTCTTGAAGAAGCATATTTCTCTTTTTCTTTTCGCAGCTGTAACTCAGCTAGTTCAGCCTTTGCAGTAGCTGTTCTAATTTCTAGAGCATGTATTTTATTATGAAAATTTTCTTTCAATACAGCCATTCTTTTCTCGTGAGCTTTCTGTATTTCTGCCACTTCTTTCTCTTGTTCTATAATTTGTTTTATTCTTTCGATCTTTACAGTACTTTCATTGTTAAGAGAAGTTTCAGTAATATTTGTCTCTACTTTGGTCATTTTTGTATTTCGTTTACAAACAGTATCCAAACCCTTTTTTCTCTTCAAAACACCCGCTGTAAATATAACAGTATTACATTAGTTGATCAGCAAAGAAATCAGTAAGAATCACATATCTATGTAATTACCTTGAATGGAAAAATCGATATTTTGATTTTCTTTATCTTGTGTTGTATCTTCAATTGTTACGTCAACTGAAAATGAATAATAATCAATTTAAATTTTTAACTGTAAACAATTTTACTTTTTAAACATAGAAATATATTTATTACTGATATATAATTACATAATCTTGTGAAACACAAAATAGACAGTAACACAAAATTAATATAAATTTTTTTAATAAATAAGATTTTTCTATTTTTGTATATAAGGATAATGGTGTATGATATAAATATATTTCATTTTTAATCTATTTCAATTTCATATACCTTCTTGTATTTTATTTTCATTTGTTGCCTCGTCGTCATTACTTTCAGATATGACAATGGTCGAATCATTATCTGTTACAATCTTCAAAGTCTGTTTTTTCATCTCTGAAACAAATAAAATATATTTGAATTAAATAAAATTAAGTATAAGAACTCGTAACATTTTTTTGTCAAATGCTTTTATCATACATAAGAATATTAATTACGTTAAATAGTGAGACAAATTGCTTATAAATATATTTATAAAACTATTTACCTTTTATTTCATTGTCCGTCATATTTGAAGTAAAAAGGATAGGAGCTGTTTCCAAAAGATGCGGTGCAATTGCGGCTACGTCAGGATCAATATTTGTCTCTGGAAGTGGTGGACCACCACCAGTAGCTAGACGAGCCTGTTTTTCTTTTGTCAATAATTCTCTTTGATTCTGTTTCATGTTTGTCCATAGTTTTTTCAGTTGTGCAACTGTACGCTGTAAAAGAATAACATTTACTTAATCAGTATTAAATATAGTATATAAAAAAATAAAAATAAATTGCGAATAATTGTATATTAATAATTACAATATGTTTTACAATTCAAAATATAACCTAGCTTTCTTTTATATTTACCTCTTGAAAAATCATTGACGAATCGTTATACCGGTTACAGATTTCATCCCATGCAATTTCTTTATCCCGAAACGTTGAAGAATCACTTTTTTTTACTTCAATTACATGCTTAAAATCTTTTAATATTTCTAAGAAAATTTTTTTTTTAACTGAAGCGTAATGTTTATTTTTTGACATTTTAGAAAATTTCTTTTCTTTGCTGACTCGTTTTGCAATAACGTTTCGACTGCGTAACTGCAAAATACAAACGCTCTTGTATTATATCACATAAAATGCCGATAAAGTTGAAGTAATATTCAGAACAGAGAATGCACATAACCATAAACCATGATTAACGAGATGGTATAAAACTGCACTTTGAATCTAATATTCCTATTGGAGGAACTGATGGAAATATTACGGAAACAGCCGAATCGAGAATAAGCATGATCTCAAGTACGTCTTCGCCAAGTCGATCTCAAATCAAATAAGACTTACTTGAGCGACAACTTCTTCGTGAAGATCGTCTTATTTCATGACTATGAAATCTACTGATCTTAAGTCGGTCTGGATGGAATAAGACTGACTTGATCAAGATTGTTTTAAGTGTTGACTTGAGACTCGACTATGAATACGGGCCTATGGCCGTACGGCCGCTTCCTCCTGAAAACGTCACTAAACGGTCAGAAATGCCCGCGCAAGATAAATTGGTCCACCCCATCGCGAGGATGGAGTCCGGGGCTCCGCACGAGCTACAGGCTCAGGTGACGGGCCCAAGGGGCCACGTCACAACATCTATAATGACATCAATTGTTATATTGGTAAAAGCATTGGTTTGACATGAAAAAAAAGGAATATTGTTTGTATGTAAAAAAAGTGATCCCAAAATCGGACATTTTTAGCCTATTTTGGTGGCTCTCGAAATTCTACAGCTTTTTTTTAGCAACATAGCTTTACAGAATAAAAATTCCTTTTCAGAAAGTAAAGTATATGCACCAATGATGTCAATGCTGGACGATTTTATGCCAAAAACAAAAATAATTTCAGAAATGCAGATTTTCTCACGTCAAGTCATGATAACACATTAGAATCCCCTTAACGTAATAAGTTTTCTTTTTACATTAATAAAGAAAAAAGTAGGAAAGGATTTTTGTCAAAAAATAATTTTTTTTATATGTTAGCAGTTATCGAAATTAATATTTTCAGATTTTACTAATAATTACATAAGAATTAGATACATAAAGCAATGCAAAATAACAACATTAAGTACTAATACGGCATATTTGTAAATAATTTGACTTACCTTACAAATGTCGTGCAATTTCACATGAATAACATTTGCACATTTCCAAGTAAGCAAATTAGCAAGTATTTATTTTCTTAAGAAGGAACGCGTTGCAATAACTGATATTATTTACAATCAATTTTTTACATAATTAACCAGTAACACACATCAAAATATATTTACAAACAAGTACAGCATCTATTTGTTGGTATGAAGAAGCGGTATTGGAACATAAGAATCAACCTGGTTCATATTTTTCAGTATTATACATTTCTGTTTTATTTCAGTGAGTGGAACTGTTATAATTTCTGAAGCAGTTGTACTTAAAATTACAAATATACCCAGTTTTTCCGAAGCACATGGCACATTGAAAAGAGATGTTGGATTTAAAAAACGTTTTGCACGAATAAGTAAGACTGAGTTGTCCTCGAATATATCCAAAACTAAAACTACATTATTATTAGAGAGTAAAGCACAATTGTCGTGCTTTTTTGTGGAAATTTTGAAAGTTTTAAATTAAACGTGACAAATTTTGTTCTTATTAGAGTAAACGACATTTGGATATTGCACCATGCAACACGGTTGGATTGGCATTTGTAATTCTTCGCCAACACGATTCACTAATTCCTCCAGAGGTTTACCGCTGTTATGCAATTTCTTCTTTATTTTTGCATGTGATTTTCAAACTTGAAGCAACTGAAATTATCTAATGAACGCGTTAAATTTGGAACACATGTGCGGATCAATTAATATTCTTATAGCAACAGTAAGACAAACAAAGTGAGTATAGGCAGTCAAAGATAATATTGGTTTCATTACGACAATTCCAGTGTACAATAAAAATTGCCGAAATTCTGTGGCCTCTACCTGTCTACGTCACGTAAATGTCTGGGTTTTCTTGTAAATTCCGATGGTATACATGCCTTGATTGCGAGTAAATAATTCGAAATTGCGTTAATATTATCAGTTGACAGTCTTACATTTTTATTACCTTTAAGCCATAACTGTAGTATTCTTTTTACAACACTTAAACAAATAAGATGCATGTAGTCCAAAGGAATTTGTGACACCATTCCAATAAGAAGTTTTTCTAATATGGAGTCACTTGTGTGATGCTCCACTTGAAGTCGATTTTTAAATGACTCGTTTGTTCGTAATATGTTATGAATTTCTAGAAAGATTACTCTATTACGTACAAAATCACCTTCTTGTATGCATTTAGAGCATGAAAAATATCCTGTGTGCCCCTTTGTATACGTTATAAATTATTTAGCTGGTGCATCGCATAATATTGCATTAATGCCAACAGTATATTTTACGCACAGTTATCCCATTTTGAAACAGGAGGATCAATTCATTTACAAAATCATTCATAAATTCATTAGCATCAATAGGTTTAGACATACCATGATATACCTCAATTATAAATGGCAATGTATAAACATCTATTCCTTCTATGGATGCCATAATGGGCCAGAATTGACTACCCGAACTTTTTGAAATCGGTAAGCCATCAATATTTATATTCAATCTTATATCGTTACTTTTTATAAAAGTAGAATACATTTTTATGGACCGTTCTAGAGACGAGGAAAGACTAAAGTGAACATAGCGACCATTGCCTACAGGTTTTATATGTACAGACGCATTTCTTGGTGTATGTAGCAAAACATCACTTACATCACTAGGTACGTGACCATGCTGTTTCAAAATGTTTAGCAACTCATTGGCAGTATTATGCGGAACATTACGTTCTATTATTAACGTTTGTAAATCTTTCCATAAACTCTTTTCATTACAAGACAATATGTCCATCAATGGTAACATATTATCTTGAGATGTTACGTTATACTGTTCACTAATTTCCGTTTCTAATATCTGCATCGGTAATTCGTCATAACAATTTGTACTTTCAGATAATGTAGAACCTGAACGAGAAATATTATCGACATTTGTAAGAGTCAATACCGCTTCTGCAACCGCATTAGATGCGATGTTTGGTTTACAAAAATGTAATGAATTTAAATGTCTGCAACTATGAATTTCGCGTTTAATCAATTGATTCACTCGCCTTTTCGATAAATATCGCATTTTCTTAGGCATGATGGCGGAGTATATCTAAAAGTAATAAAAAAAAAATTCATGAATATGTTAGCCTAAAAATAAGTCAATTCAATTTTCTCAGGTCCCTCGACCACCATCATTTATTATAATACCCGATAAATCTAATTTACTTAAATCGCTAAAGTGCAATGTTCCTGGTGGTATAGATAAATATATCGTATTATTTTGTGACTAATTGAAATGTAGGCAAACGCGTACAATCATCTCAGAAATTAAAGTACTTTATTAAGTACATAATGATCAATTTCAATTTTATGTCAAATTTTAAATCCAATCTTAGCCAATATATATTTTAATGTATTTTTTAATTTCTTGTTATCGCTAAGTATTTAGAAAATAAAATAAAAACTGTAGAAAAAATGACAATGGTATTTTGTTACATAAATGTTCAACTTTGATAATATCAGAAAAGAAAAAATTTTACACATACATATATTTTTTCTGCAATATTTTTTTTACATAAACATTTTTCAGTGAATAATTAAGTATAACACATAAACATTAATTAAAAAAACGAAAAAAAAACGCGACAAATGTTTATGTAAAAAAAATATTACAGACAAAATATATGTATGTGTAAAATTTTTTATTTATACAACAACCGTACTGCAGGGGTGTCATATTTAAGCCGAGAGTCGGCTGGTAGAGGACACGAACAAAAGAGACAGCAGGTATTTGTGCTCGCAACTATGTGCGTTCTCTTGCGTGTGTGTGTTCCCCACCAACTGACTCTCAAGTGAATCCCGGCTTAAGGCCCAGTTTCACAAGTGTCGGTTAACTTTTGATCTTAAATTAACTCACTCTTTGTCTCTTTTTAAGGGGGATGTTAGGAGACGAAGAGTGAGTTAATCTAAGATTAGAAGTTAACCGACACTTGTGAAATTGAGCCTAAATCTGACATCCCTAACGTGTCCTTTTGTTGCTGGAAATAAAGGATTACCTTTGCAGATAAATAAAAACGTTGGCTCTAAGAGGCTGCAGTACAACTCGGGATCCAAAAGAGAATAATATTTGCAGTGAAGTAATATAATTTACTTCAGTCTTTATGTACGATAACTGCAATAAGTAGAAAAATATACACAATAAGTATTATTTTTTTATAACGTTTATACATATATATAATTTTGTTAGAAATAAAGGATCATTATCTTGTAGTAATGGAACGTTAAGTCGAAGACATGCATAGACCTCGGGCACATAAACAGCTTGGACCGCGCGGTTTCGCCGCGCGGTAGACCCGAGACCGTGCACATTTAGACCGCGCGGTAGACCACACATGAGCGGTTTCGACCGCGCAGTTCCGCCGCGACAGACCGTGCACATCATGAGCGGCTTGTCCCGCGCGGTCGAAACCGCTCGTGTGCACGGTCTGTCGCGACGGAACCGCTCTGTGTACACGACCTACCGTGCTACGGAATGCCCGAGCCCTAACACGGGATCCGAGGGAGAATTAATTATGTTTGCAGTATTTGCCGTAAACCATAACCTATACTTCAGTCTTCATATACAATTCTTGCAATAAGTAGAAAAATGTGATTAAAACTATATACACGAGTATTACTTTTTCTTTATAACGTTACGTATTTTCAATGTTTTCAAGAAATGTTGTTAGAAATGAAGGATTACCTTTGATGAATATGGCTCGAAGACGCTGCATGACGCGGAATCCGAGAGGAAATGGCCGCCGCCGGCAAACCGCGGGAAATCGTACGTTTATGGCGCATATACATATTGTT